TTTTAACAGATCTAATGATTACCAAAAGAAAAGAAAAAACACTAGTAACATTTTCAATAGATTTTAACCATTGAAAAACATATGAATTGTATAGATGCTTAATGACGAAGTTAGAAAGAAAGGTGGGAGAAAATATTTAAAAGTTATAAGACTCGCTTGAACAACTTAATTCTTTCTTAATAAAATATTAATAATTGACAATTACTGATAAAAAACACTTCACAAAAAAATAATGGAAAAACTGTCACGATTTTTTCTAAAGCAATTTTATCAAGTCATTTCTTAGGGTTTTTTTTAAATAATGTAAAATTTGAAAGTTTCATTTGTTCACTCTCACTTGATGTAAAATTCAAATAATGAGTCTCGTTCTTTTATTTCAAGTCTCTTCTCTTCAACTTTTCTAGATCACCATTTCCCCCATTATTTATTTCTCTTCCTTTATCTCTTCCACACCAAATACCATCTTAAAATTTATCAAAATTTTCATTACCAAGATTTGAATGGAAATTTAAAAGCATTACACCACACCACATTGATACTTATTTTGATATAAGTTGAACTAGAAACCTTACTAACAATTTTGACAAACACAATAAGCACTTCTAAATGCCTCCTATCCTACATCAATTACTTTGAATAGGAAGAAAAGAGCATGATCATGTGGGGTTTTATAACTTGTTTTTATTTTGAATATGAAGAAAAGAAAGAGAATTTTAGAAGAAATTGTTGGGTTGGAGGTATGCATTCTCTTGAATATGGTTTACAGGTGGAGGGGCTATGAAGGAGTTAGATGATGGAGTAATTTGATAGCCTTTTGAAAGAATGATGAAAAGAAATGGTGCATGGGGAACCAAAGGGGTCGGTGTAACCATCAATGTGAGGTGGAGGGCCCAAACTTTTCTATAATTCAACTTCAATTGCATTGCAAAGTTTACTATGTATCTTCAGGCCCTAATGGATTGCCTAGGATATGATAGAGCTAAGAGAGAGAATCATGCTCATCTTTATGGAATCTTCCTTTTTCTTTTTCTTCTATTTTTACAAAACTTCAATTAATCAATCTTCATTTGAATAAATCATAAAATTCAACTGTTTCCACCTCATTAAAACCTATATATATAAAAGAGATTAAAATGTGTGGAAGGAGTGATTAGTGACAGAAATGGATTAAAAAAATTGTAGGGGAGGCTTGCACCTCACTTAGACTCCAAGTACGGCTTTGATACCATATTAGAAAGTGGGTTTTTAAGCCTAACTCAACTCTACAAAACCGACTTGTAGGGTGAGGTTTGCACCTCACTTATAAACTATGAATTTACCTTATCTCTAGTCGATGTAGGACTTCCAACTGTTATTAAATTATTTCTTCATTTAGTTAAATAGTATTGGCATTATCTAATTGACTTTGAACTGGGAAAGGGTCATTTGGTTATTTGAAGTCTTCAATTTAAAAAACATTTTCTGTCTTGACTATAAGCATCCTCTCCAAAATGTATCATTTTCAAGTTAACCATTTCATAAAATTACTTATTCTAACCAAAAAATTATCTTTTTAGACTTTCAGCAAATTACAAAATTGTATAGTTATTTCTCATTAAATTTTTCTTGGCTTTTAGTCTTTCAACATTTACAGATTTTGTATTTGGTTCTGAAAAAAAATATATTTGTAGTTTCTTTCTTACCTTAGTGATTTCTGAAATATTTTTTAACTTCTTTTAGCTTTTAACTTCTTATTTCAAAAAATTTTATAAAATTAAAAAATATTTAGTCAAAATAAAACATAATAATATAATGAATACACACTTTAGACTCATATAATATAAAAACGGACTATTCAATTTTCACCCTGTAAAAATTCTTCAAATCAATGATGATTAGGTTAAAGATTTTGTTGCGGAAGAGAATATTTACTAATTTTTTTAAAAAAAAGAACTATTTTATAGGGTTCATATATTTCTTAAACTTTTCCTTGATACCTCAGAGATTTTCTTAATTTAACATTAAAGAAAAATAGAAGACGAAGGATTAATGGGATTTGTCATCTTAAAAGAGTACATAGAAAATTACAAATACTTGTAACATGAGAAAGTATTTATATTGGTAATACAAAGGTTGTTGTTTATCTAACCAGAAATTAAAAGAGAAAAAATGGTTTATTAATTATGATATGAAAAGAAAGTTAATATCCATGAACTTAAGCTTTTTTAATTGATTTTTTGAAAGGCATGCGTGGTGCATGTTGATCCCCCAACATCACACTCTGCTTTTGGGAACAGAGTGGAAGTGATTTCAATAAAGAATAATATGGTTTTGCCAAATAGCCTTTAAGAATTTCAATTTTTTGACTTTTAGACCCTCTTCTCTGTTTCACCATATTCTAAACCTTACTTTTCTAGATTCTTTCTCTCTCTCTTTTTATTCTTTTTTTAATTTACATATTTTTCTTTTTTTGTTTTTTTTTTTTTTTGTAAACTATCCACATATTTCTATGACCTACAAACAGGGTTAAACTCTTTCTTCCTACATCCTAATTCTATCTTCTTCTTTTTCATTAATCAAGGTAAGAAAAATCTAGATTCTATAGTTTGAAAATATTACAAATTCTATGGTCTCAAAATGTTTTTTGAATTGTATAATATAAAATTTTAAAAAATATTTTGGATTATACTTTAAAAATGTATTTTAAATTGTATAACCCAAACTATATTTTCAAATTTAAAAGTATATTCTGTACTGTATAATATAAATGTATATAGAAAATATATATCTAAACTTAAAAATAAATTTTAAATTACATAATCCAAAACATACTTTTTAAATTGAAAATTGTAAATTTAGCCCATGGACACTTTTGATTTATTTAATACTCATAACATTTGTTGGAAAGAAAAATTCATTTCTTTCTTCTCTCGTTGGCAGTTTTTTTTTTTCTGAACTTCCGTAGCTTTCTTCTTGCACTCCTGTAATTTCTTTTTATTGTTTTTTCCATCTGGATTATATAATTTAAAAATTATTTTATGACTTTTTAATTATGCAATCAATAAGACATTTTTTTTCTTGATGGATTATACAATATAAAAATCATTTTTAACTTTTAAAATATACAAACCAAAAGTCAATTTCAACTTCTAAATAATAATATTAAAAAAATTAAGAAAAGAATACTTTCCAATTATGTTTCGGATCGTAAAATCTAAAAATCTAAAAAAATTACTTTTGGATTATAAAATTAAAAAAAAAAACACAAAAAGAAATTATGGGATGTAAAATGAAAGTTACGAAGGTGCTAGAAAAAACTGCCTCCCCCATTTGGGCTTGGAAGCCCATCCGTGAACATTTTGGACAGAAAGTCCAAAAGACCTAAATGAAAAGAAGTAGGGAGTTACTCCCTCCACCACCACGGTTTTTAGTCTGCACCTCCCCAACGTTTTTTTTTATTTCAAAAGTAACCTTAAGTAACTTTTTTTTACTTTTATCTTATTTAATATAAAACCCTAATCTTATTTTCTCCTTTTTTTTTTCCATTGTCGCCGCTGGCATATCCTACAACCCCACACAGAACTTCTTTTTTCACTCTCTTCTTCTTCCTCTTCTCTTTCCCTTTTATTTTTCATTTATTCTTCTCACTTTTATTTCCTACCTCCATTATTTCATTGCTTCTATTGTATTGCGTCGTTGCTTTTATTGTGTCGTTCCTTCCATTTTATTTGCTACTGATATGTTATATATGCTGTGAAATGATATGTTGTTGTATGAAATGATGGAAGGAAACGGGAAAGTCAAAACGGATATGAAAAATATGTTTGACCTTCACGGACATTGACATCTATTGAAGACAGAACGGATCTCAAATCTCCGTTAAGATCTTTAACTATATTTAACCATAATAAATACATTTTTACTTAAAGACAATTGGAGAATGGGGTGGTGAAGGAAGAAGTTGGTGTGGTGTAGGGAGAAACTCTCAAAGAAGTAACTAGAGTAGTTGAGATTCAAATATTTATTTTGAAATTACTGCACTTTCCACTTAATTTATCTGAAAACACGTGACAATTAAAACGTAATAATTAAAATATAAAAAATATCTTTTTTAAAATTTGTTAAGATTAATCTACCTGTATACATTTTACTTAATAGAATTTGACCTTTTATCTTCCAACAAAAAAACCCTTCTGTTATTCACGTTCATACTATGGAAACAATATAGAAATTTTAGTTGAAGTAAACTGATTTTGTCACACAAAAAAAAGGTTCGAGGCTGATTTTTTTGTTAAAGGTCAAACTTCGGACTTAGCAAGACTTTTATGAAATTAATCAAATGTTTTAAGAGTATCCAACTAAAATACACACCACTTAAAATTTATATTATATAGAAAAATAAATTCTTAGAAATGGCATGTAAGGAAAACTAATTACAAAAAGTTACTTTTAGGACATAATCAACTTTACCCAATAAGTTATAAAAATTAGTTTGCATTTACTCATAAAAATTGAGTCTAAAAGTCACGTGCATGTGTCCTTCTGAGGCAAACTTTTAATTGGCTATATAAAGTAAATATCTGTTTTAAATTTAGAATATAAGATCATTTTTATCACATTAATTTGAAACAATTATTAATAATATAAGTTAGCATTCTTAAGTTTATTTATCATGAAAAGTTTTATACATGTTTGCCATTTTTTTCTGATTTCGTCTCTTCCATAAGTGCATGAATATTTTAAGAAAATAATATCTATAATAATTTAAAATTTTATTTATGTATTTAGAATTTAAATTTATTTTTTCTTTTCTAAGGCTTTTTCTTGTAAATCAAATTGAATAATGTTGTACACGAGGATTCTCTTTGTACTCCAAGTTTTTTTTCACTCCAAATTTTGATTTAATTCCAAAATTAGTTTTAATTTTTTTTTTTACTTTTTCTATCTTATTAGAGTGCACATCACACACATTCACTCATGTTTCAAAAATTAACCCAGCCAATGATACCATGTATCCTAAAATGGCAAAAAAAACTCGTATTTGTGGATATTCTACGGATAAAATCTGCTACGTGTATTTAGTACCAACGAATAAGAGGTACCTGCGGATAACGGGTAGCAAATATTTTAATATCCGCTTGTTAACGGGTCAAGTTCGGGTATCATACTATCCGTACCCGCAGGTACCCGTTACTTATAAGAAAAATGAAATTACAATTTTATCCATTAGGTTTTTTTTTCTAACTTTTTAATTAGGTTTTCTTTTCTGTTCAATTTGCTAAAATAGGGCCAAACCCCAAATCCCTTTCTAGGGTTTCTTCTTCAAATGGAGGAATTTACGTTTTTCTCCTCCTCATCTTCATCGTTCCTCTTGCGGCTGCACAATCTACAAACAATAACCAAAACGAATCGTATTACAACCGCTTCAGCCCTTCCATGGTTATCATAATCGTCATCCTCATTGTCGTCGTCTTCCTCATGGGCTTCTTCTCCATCTACATCCGCCATTGCACCCACTTCCCCTTCGCAAGCATCCGCAACCTCACCAAATCCACCTCCCGCCCGCGCCGTGGCCTCGACCAGGCGGTCATGGACACTTTCCCCATGCTGGAGTACTCTGTGGTGAACATCCACAAGCTTGGAAAGGGAACGTTGGAGTGCACGATTTGCTTAAACAAGTTTGAGGACACCGAAACGATGCATTTGATCCACAAGTGCGATCACGTGTTTCACACGGAGTGCATCGACGAGGCGTGCACGACAGTGACAACTGAGTCTACGATGAGGCGGCAGAGGTGGTAGACGGAGTGGTCAACGACGTGAGGAGACTACGACAAGAGGCAGATCTAAGATGCTTTGGTGCAGATCTCAGCTTGGACAAAATAAACTCAACAACTTTTGGAGTCCCGGTTTCTCTTTGAAGTGCAGATTGAAGATGCTTTAGTGCAGATCTAGGGTTTGTGTGTTTTGAAAAAAAAGGAGAATAAAGTTTGGGCCATTGGGCTTGGATAATAATGCACATACTATTGGAAAAGGGGTATCCAACAGGTATCCGCGGATTGGAAAAAATCTGTGGATTTTTTTAATGCGGGTACTCGTCGGGTACCGGGACGAGTAACAGGCACAATTTTTACATGTGGATCGGGTTTAGGTATCACACTATCCGGGCCCGACTCGACCCGTTGTCATCCATAATATATCCTGCACAACACCATAGCTACCACAAAACTTTCTTTCTCATTGCATCAACTAAGCTTCTTCGTCATCCCTATACACGAGAGATAAGACAAGTAGACATTTATTTTTTATTTTGTTGAGATTACTAGGTTTTCATTTGAATTTGACAGTGTATATGGACATATGTGGTTTTGGTCAAAATTTGGTTATTGTTTTTATTGGATTTCAAAAATCAGTTAGTGATCTAGCAGATTTAAAATCAGATTCAAAATCTAGTGAGGGCTTAACCAGATTTTGAAATTTGGCGAAGACTTAACTAGAGTTGAGGGCTTACACACACACACACACACACACACACACAC